TTAAGTTGGACATTTGAAGGACTATATTAGTGGCTCTGAGTGTGGCCAGGTTATAAATTCTGTTTAACAAATATATAAAGATTTTGTAACCTTTTTTTAATTATATGTACATGAGGCTAATTCAACATTTTTCACATTTTCATTTATGTTCCATTACCTTTTAACTGAATCAGACCACACTTCAAATACAGGTCTGTATACAGAATGTTTTATTTTAATTTTCGCTCTCAATTTTATTATTCTGGAAATATCAAATGATGGAGGGAAAATGTATCCATTTGATAAGGACTTCCCGTTGTCCCATTTGTATTTACTGCCCTTAATAGTTTTGAAAAGAGTAACATGTTGTAAAAATGTGGAAGTAACTGTGAATTGTATGCCAAACAATTAGAAATTATCACCATATAAAGGACTATGGATTTACCAAATATGGAACACAGCAACAATATTATTCTTTTGTGATAGAAAAATGATGCAATCCTGGATTTACAATCTTATATTGATTGTTCGTGTTCACTCTCCACTTACAAACTGGCTTGTTTATTGCTGAAGTGGAAAGACTGATCAGTATTATTCCATATGGTCAAGCATTAATGCCATGTTTAAAGCTCTCTCTGTGTGGGTATGTGTTTTTATATATATTTAAAAGCTTATGCCGTGTTTCCCCAAAAATTAGACTGGGTCTTATATTAATTTTTGCTCCAAAAGATGCATTGGAGCTTATTTTATAGTTAGGTGTTGTTTCTGGAAAATACAGTACTAAATGCATCCATCAGGTTGATGATCTTAACTTGATCTTATTTTTGGGGGTAGGACTTATATTATGAGCATCCTGAAAAATCATGCTATGGCTTATTTTCCAATTGGGTCTTATTTGGGGGGAAACAGGGTACATGTTTTTGTACATCTATGTATATATATACTCAGAAGCAGAGAATATGTGTGCATAATGCATATGTTTATACACACAAATGTGTGTGTATGTATATGTGTGTATGTATGTATGTATGTATGTAACACATATCTTATCTTATATTTCCCTTTCATTTTGTATAATACAGCAATTTTAAAAACTTTTAATGTATAGTTTAATGAAAAGAAGGATAATGTGATAGTAGTGTTCCAATATCTCAAGGCTTGCCACAAAGAAAAGGATGTCAACCATTCTCCAAAGCACCTGAAGGCAGGACAAGAAGCAATGGGTAGAAACTAATCAAGGAGAGAAACAACCTAGAACTAAGGAGAAATTTCCTGACAATTAAAAAACCAGTTGCCTTCAGAAGTCATGGGTGCTCCATTACTGAGGTTTTTTAAAGAAGAGATTGGACAACCATTGGTCTGACATGGTAGCAGGTCACCTGTTTGAATCGGGGGTTGAACTAGAAGGCCTCCAAGGTCCCTTCCAACTCTATTATTCTGTTATTCCATTAAAAGAAGCAATTTTATGATCCAGTTTTCTTCTTAGGTTCCTTTTCCTGTTAACTGGATTAGACATCACTTCAAATATAAAGCTATTCTCGGTAAAGCAGGTTGCACAAGTGTTCCAGAATCTATTAGCCAGGCTTTCCAATGACCTTAGCCTTGGACACTTGATACCAGGCATTTAAAGATGATACAGGATTCTACTGTAGTGAGCAGAATATTGTACTAACTGAGGAGAGCCATGAAGCTGTCTCAGATCTCACAAATTCTCTCAGCAAAACATCCCTCAGAGAGCAAGATAGGGACCCAGATTACAAATACTGTACCATACTGAAAATAAAAATTAGTTTAAAATAAAAACTAGATGGTTAAGTCAAATCTTAGGGAAAAGATTTCCCGTGAAGTTAACAGGATGCAGCATCAGCATCCAAAAGACTCCTGATACACCATCAGGACAGTTGTAATTATACCAATATTATGGTACATCTTTTATGTAAATAAGCCACCAGAAGGCCTGAATAGTTGCATAGGCTGCCAAAGTTGAGAGGGGAAAAAAACCCCACTCTGGTAGGGTATTTTCTTTTCTATTCCAAGAGCTCTAATTAGCAAATAGCAGAGCTGGACAGTTGATTTTTCTTTATGTATTTATAGAACCATTCTGAATGATATTTCACCCCCTGCTTCCCAGAAGCTTCTAAAGTGTGTTACAGTTAACAATTTGCAAACAAATTACAACATTTCAAACATCTGGTGATGAAACTGTGAAATAACTAAAATCTAAATAACTGAATATACATTGTACAACAAGTATAGAAAAACAGCCTCTGTTAAGGCATGCAAAAATTCCTAGCAGCAAAGATGGATGAAAATATTTGGTTTCCTAAATTTTCCCTTCCGGCTTTGAAGGGTTCCTACAGAACAGAAGGGGAAGAAATGGAAGCAATAACAGATTTTACTTTTCTTAAGCTCCAAGATTACTGCAGATGGCAACTGCAGCCATGAAATTTAGTGGCTTACTCCTTGGGAGAAAAACTATGGCAAATCTAAATGGCATATTATAAAGTAGAGATATCAGCTTGCCAACAAAGACCCATATACAGTAGTTAAAGCTATGGTTTTCGAAATAGTAATGTATGGCTGTGAGAATTGGACCCTAAGGAAGGCTGAGTGCCGAAGAATTGATGTTTTCAAATTCTGATGTTAGAGAATTCTCTTGAGAGTCCCTTGGACTGCAAGGAGATCAAATCAGTCAATCTTACAGGAAATCAACTTTGACTGTTCTTTGAAAGAACAGTTACTGAAGCTGAAATACTTTAGTCACAAATGAGAAGATAGGACACATTGGAAAACACCCTGATGTTAGGAAACATAAAGGCAAGAGGAGAAGGCGGCAGCAGAGAATGAGATGGTTAGATTGTGTCATCAACTCAAGGAGCATGGATTTGGGCAAACACCGGGAGACAGTGGAGAACAGGAGAGCCATGCTATGTTCAATGGAATTGTGAAAAGTCATACATGACTGAGCAATTGAACAATAGCAAAATTTTCCTATTCAAAAGTTAAAAGGTTTCCCCTGTCCACCCCAACTCATGGGGGCAGTGCTCATCTCTAATTCTCAGCCGAGGGAGCCTGCATTGTCTGAGAGACATTTCCATCATCATGTGGTCAGCATGAAAATATGGAATGCAGTAACCTTCCTACTCACATTTGCATGCTTTATAACTGCTAGGTTGGCAGAAGCTGGGGTGAGTAACAGACCTTAACCCATTGCACAATGCTTGAATTTCAAACCCAGGCTGTCATCTTTCCAGCTGACCAGCTCAGCTTCTTAACCACTGAACCACCCCTTTTTTTTCTATTTGCATATTATGAAAAAGAAAGCAACAGCAAAAATAACAGTTAAGAAGTGTAATTGCAGATGATCTTAGGAAGATTACTGTGCTTGATACCTTGAAGGTTCTGATACTAACCATAACAATTAACTCCTTTTAATGTCAACGGATGGGAATGAATGAACAGGGCTTACATACAATTTCTTTCTGTAAAATTCAAAGCTTGGATCTCAGGAGATGTTAATTCTTTCACATTGCATTTCTGCTACGAGAGATTTAAAGGGAGTAGAATGCCATGGGCTTTGATAAAGCTCCCAGAAAGAGTTTTCATCAGAGACAACTAAAGCTGTATCTGTGCCATACAGGAAACTGTTCTTGATGAGAAGAATTAAATATTAACCTTGCGGTCTATCTTGCTTTCGGTTTGCAAACTCATCAATATTGAACCCCCTGAGAGCATGACCTAAAGTCTTTTACCTTAACAGACATTAACCAGCTTTGATCGACTCAACCCTGAGAGCTGAAGGTTTGAATATTTAAAATTACATCAAGCTTTTTTCTACAAACAATAGGGGTTGACTCTTAGAAAGCAGTTTTAGGATATGACATTTAAAGTGGCTGGGCTGGTTCCACCTTCTTGTTCGAAAGGCCAGCTTATCTCAAGAACAATACATCAAAAATGGAAACCTACCACCACCACCCATCCCCAATAAGGTCATTGTGACACAGGTGACATTAAGGAGTTGGAAAGGAGATCCTGATATCGCTTAATTGCTATGATATTTCCGAAGAGATATTGATCATCTGCATAGTTTGAAATATATCCAGCACAGGAAGGAATGGTTAGATCCATCAATTTTGCTCAGGGTTTGTTGTTTTTTTTCATTTCTCCAACATTATGTTTGTATAGCTCATTTTGGCATCGGGTTACATGATTTGCTTTTAAAGTTGTGCATGAAAACACTTAAGCATTACATGGGCATTATGGACTCTGGCACTTAGTGCTCAAAGTCTTGGGTTTCTGTCAGCTGATAGGACACTCTGACCAATAGTTTTCCTTACCCAGTGGCTGCTTGGACTAATAACCAATTCATGCAGCTTTTCTTGCAGCTCTGTGTACTTGCAAGAGCTGAGGGGGTGAGATAGGAATCTGTGATTCTCAGGCCAAAGATGACCATTAAGTAAAATTAAGTAGCCTTATATACTGCTTGTTAGTCCCTTACAACCCTATCTAAGCAGCTTATAGAGTCAGCATATTGTCCTCAACAATCTGGGTCCTTATTTTACTGACCTCAGAAGGATGGAAAGTTGAATTATCCTTCAAACAGTAAGGACTGAACTCCTGGCAGTGGGCAGAATCAATCCACAATCTTGCATTCTAACTACTGTGCCACCACGGCTCTTTATATTAAAAAGATAAAACAGTGATCATCCTAGATATTAAACAAAAAGTCAGCTCATAGCTAGGTTGCAGATAGACACACCTATACATGCATGATTGTGTAGATCCCTAATAGTTCAGAACACTGGAGAAAGAAGTAACATTTTTTTAACTTTCTTTGCATCGCTTTCCAGTATTTTTGGATAAACACATATTATTGTGAGTTTATTGTACTGTATTGTATTGTAGGCACAGATTACATTTTTGAAATCCTATCTTTTAACTCCACCCAAATACAAAGTAGTTAGATCATTGTTTTGCTACTCAGAGCAATCATAGTGATTATGTTTTTCCTTTGTTTTCAGAAGGAGGAACGTGTGAAGTTATAGCGGCACACAGATGTTGTAATAAGAATCGAATTGAGGAGAGATCACAGACAGTAAAGTGTTCCTGTCTACCGGGGAAAGTGGCTGGGACAACACGGAACAGACCATCATGTGTTGACGGCAAGTAGCTTATACTGAATCTCCTATGAATATGGGTAAAACTTCATAACTGCAAAGAAGTTTGAAATCAAGAGACCTGCTCCAAGGTTTTAATATTGCTGTTACTTAAGGCTTCCATGCAGAATTGGAAATGAACAAAATGAATTTGTTTTAAACTGTGAAATGTTAAAGCTGCAGTCTTGATCTTAAAACTTAACAGCAAATACAAAATGTTTAATTTCTGAAAATCACGAAGTTGCTATGGAGAACAAGTAAAACAACTTTGCAAATAGAAATCAGACAGATTCAAAACACTGCCATTTCTTTCATTGTAAGATTTAATTTTAAAAGCAATCAAGGGGAACAATGGAAAAAAAACACCTTTTTTCTAAGCGATCTAAAAACTGTATGAGTCAGAGACAGGAATGCCATAAAGTTTGCATTAGCCTGTTCATCACTGTTCAAAAAGCCATTATATTCTTATTCTTTTTCTGGATTCCATGGAATAATCTACTTCGTTGGATACCATTTGACTGCAATAGTCCTTTATCCTTATCTTGGCACATCATGCTTATATATTCCAGTTTCTGTACAGAGCACAGTATAAAACAGAATTTTGTAAACTTGCATATCATGTGCACAGGAAAATTATTATAGTGAATGAAGTAAGACTGTTTTTGCCTAAAGATGTACCACTTTTTACCATTCTTTCTGATTCTTGCAGAGGGGATAGTTACTCTCATTGAAATGTTAGTAAAAAGAAAAGGAGTCCTTCTTTTATCTCTTCATCTAAATCATTGAAGATATTGAAGAGCCTAAGACAAAGCCTTGGGGTACCCCACTGCATACTTCCCTCCATTCAGTTCCATTAAGGACTACATATTGAGTGTGGTTGGTCAGTCAGTTACAAATCCATCTGGTGGTGATGCTGTCTAACCCACATTTTTCTCTTTTATCAAGTAATAAGTTGTAATCTACTTTATCAAATGCCTTACTGAAGCCCAAGTAAATTATGGCCACAGCATTTCACTGGTCCACTAATTTTGTTACTTTGTCAAAGAATGTAAAAAGATTTGTCTGGCATGATGTCAGCTTTTAGAATTAAGGAAATTGGAATTCCCAGATGTTTGTCAGTCTTTGGGAAGATCTAAGTAGGGGGAAGCCAGAGTGCAACATTATCTAACACCTCATGGGTAGAATAAAATGAAATAAAATAAAACAGCAAGGATCAATAATGCATCATTTCTGTCATTCTTGAGTGCCATGCAAAATTAAAAATGGCCTTGAGATGTCATAAGACTTCACTGTTCTTGTATGGGACTTTAAGTGTGAGGTTGCTGACATTTTCTGAGATAGGATGGTGGTCTCATATGAGATTTAAGGTAGAGAGAGATAAGAGAGAGAAAAAGAGAGATGAAATGTTTTCAGGGAGGTCACATCTAAACTGTTATCATTAACTGGAAAATATTCTAGTTGCTATAGTTGTTAAATAAATATACAATTTATTATATTAGATATATGAATATTACATTTGCCCAGTGATCAATTGCTTACAAACCAGTTTAACACTGAAATCTTGCCTAGTTTTTAAATTTCATGGAGTTCTCACCATGTACTTCAAGTAGAGGACTAATGATATGAAGCAAACCTATGGCATTAATATTTTCTAGAGCATCATTTTCCCCAAATGCCACCTCTGTAATCCAACCATCCTGGCAAGCACAACATGTAACATGTGCACAATGATGTGTGGAAGCCTTTCTTTCCTGGTTTTAGAAGACATTTGGAAGAGTTAAATGGGGTGAAGCACCTTTTTCAGAAGGTGAAGATGTTTCCAATAGTGTGTATTTGGCCTCCAAAGAACTGAGTTGTTATTGTTTTTAATTTGGGTGCCTGTGTTGGAAGAAATGTCCACCTGGATTCAGTTCCAAGTGGAGAAAAAGACGCTGGACTCATGAAAGTTGCTTGGAAAGAAGACATATATTTTTTTAGACATTTTATTAAGATTTATAGGCCGCCCTTCTCCCTGAGGGGACTCAGGGTGGCTTACAATCACAGGGAAGGGGGTGCAATACCAAAAGACAAACAGTAAGTGAACAAAATAAAATAATAAAACACAACTTGCATTCAACAGTCAACACTCGGGCGGGTAAATTGGGAACCTATCCCCAGGCCTGCTGGGAGAGCCAGATCTTAAGGGCTGTGCGGAAGGTCTGGATGGTGGTGAAGGTTTTAATGGTGGACAGGATGGTGGTGAAGGTTTTAATGGTGGACAGGATCACATGCCTTGAAGATGTTGGATGAAAAGAAAAAAGGGCAGAGATGCTGAGAGCGCCTGGATTTTATATCCTCTCTTGGACCCCACCTTAGAGTTTCCTGTTCCTGTACAAAAAAATGTATCCCATTGGCTGTCAGACTCCCAGGGGGTGTGGGTCTTAGCCAGTGGTGGGGTTCAAATAATTTAACAACCGGTTCTCTGCCCTAATGACCAGCTGGGTAGGTGTGGCTCAGTGGTCACGTGACCATGTGGGCATGGCCAACTCAACATCACTCACGACGATGGGCTCTTCGTCTTAGCTGTTACAATGTAATAAGGGTTAACTGGAGAGGCAGTTTCTGTAAGCAGGTAAATAAAGATTAGGCTAGAAACAACACCAGAATGTTTCCTTCCTGCCTTCCTTACAGGATTAGCCCTACAAAGTGGGAAAAAAACAAAAGGAGGTTTCTTCCAACAACTGGTTCTCCAAACTGCTTAGAAAGTTAACAACTGGTTCTTCCAGATAGGTGTGAACTGGCTGAATTCTACCACTAGTCTTAGCTAACTTTGTAGGCTGACTGTGTCCCAGGCCTGGCTGAACCTTGCTGGTGATGTCATCTCCCCAGGTGCCATGTGGTGAGTTCTGTTGCTAGATGGGTAGAGGTCTAATCCTATCATGTTCTGAGAGCCATGTCTTAATCCCATCACCCTGGAGCTGAAGGGGGTAGATCTTTGTTATGTAGAATAGATTGACTCAGGCCTTAATAGCCCATTTATAAAGAGGGGGCTGAGTTTTTGCCTCACTTTTAGGAGAAATATTCTATTCTTTTAATATTTCCTAAAATATCTCATTTTCTTAGGAGAGGGGTGGGTGGTAACTTCCTACCCTATTTCCCTGAAAACAAGACATCCCCGGATAATAAGACCAAACAGGCTTTTGAGCACATGCGCTAAAATAAGCCTTCCCCCAAAAAATATTGCAACACAGCAGCAGCCAGGAGGTGACCACTCTAGCCGCCTCCTGCACCTCAAAAATAATAAGACCTCCCCAAAAATAAGGCCAAGTGCTTATTTCAGGGATCAAAAGAAAATAAGATCCTGTCTTATTTTCAGGAAAACATGGTACAACTTTAATGCAAGAGACCGAAGAATTTCACATAAATAAATCCAAACAAGAGTTAAATAATGTGCAATTTGGAGCTAATGAAATGGCATGCAATCGGTTCTGCTAGCCTCACAGCCAGTCCTTGATAAATAATTTGTATTATTTACATATCTCCTCCATATGAACCTTTGAATCTAGGGGAAATTGTTCACAATCAAAAAGCCAATAGTTTTCTATTTATCTAATATTATACCTTAGATGCTATCAAAGAACAACTCTCTCTCAACTCCTTAAAAAGTACTTTCAATCAATTCTTAGTTTTACAGAAAGAAAGGAAAATGTTATTTTAAATCCAATGAGTCAGCTTCTCCTCCCTCTAGGGGTACTCCAACCTACATAAGGAGAAATCTCCGGGTTCCTTATTGATAATGCAGTATCTGTAGGAATAAACGAGCTGGATAGGTAAATTATTTTTTTACTCCAGGAAAATCTATAGCCTTTTTTTCTACAGCACCTCTGGAAAACTGAATAGCAGACTTTGTACCATCTTTTTAAATTATTTGACGAATTCTGATGACTTCATTTGTTGAGAGATATGCAAGAACAGACACAAAAAAATTATCATTCTACACTCAGGTCTACTTAGTACCTTCAGTCAGGGAGATGCAGAACTTGGCATTTCAGAAGGAAAACAAGTGTACTCATACAGCAGTATTAAAACATCTACAGTAGCTATTTGCTCAGAATTCTTGGTATTATGTATTTGATCATGTATAATCTCCATCTACATTTGGGTGCACTATCTTCATTTGAGAAACGCTACATCTCAGGATGTACTGAAAGGTGTGCTTATAAAGAAAGTAAGGGTTTGGATCAAAGGTGCTTTGCTGTGGGTTTGGCCCAGTTCGGCCGAACCGGTAGTGAAATTCAGGCCTGGGCCTGCTACATCCCCGAATCGGTTCCCTGGCTGTCACTTCGCCACCACCGTTTTATATTTTAGTGACTGAGCGTACATTGAACAGCACACACACACGCAGTGCATATCTGGTGTGTGTGCCCACAGACACATTGTGCACAGGTTGTGAACTGGCAGTAATTCCGGCAGCAACCCACCCCTGATTTCGAT